GTGCAGGCCTTCAGACCGTCTCCCCACACTTAGATGCTTCAGCTACAGAGATGCCTCCGGGAAGGTGTGAACAGAGGCAGCTGACTTTCAACAAGGGCTGTGATGCTGCCTCTGTATAGCGTGTTGGGGCCCTTCTCTACACGCTGGGCTACTTGCCCCCGGGTGGGGGCGGGGCCGTGGCTCCTGGAGGTGGTGACCGCGACTTGGGGAGCCGAGCTACTTCGGAACCTCTCTGAGGACAAGCTGGGAGGGATGGGTGACCAGCTGGAAAACCAGCTCCCCACTGCCGCCCTTGAAGCTTCTGGTGGGTCTGCTGCTGGTAGGTTTTCGACTGTGCACCGTGCGAGCGGAAGTGGACGGCCAGTTTCGAGGCCGGTGACAGAGAACCACAGCCAGTGCCTCTCGGCCTCCGCGCTGCCACTCGCGGGCCAGATAACCGGGCTTTTACTGCTCGCAACCTGGTAGCACAGCCACCTTCGTGTGCGCTGTGACTTGGGGCTTTGTGGGAGACATCTGTCCCTGCGGCCGCACAGCTCTGTGTCGGTGGAAACCTGGTCCCCGTTATGTCACCGGGGGGGGCGCCCCTCCCCCTGAACTGCTGGGATCGTGCATCAGGAGATGAGTGTAAAGTGGAGGTGCTCTTTTCACCCTGTCTAAGATTGCCCTCAGCACGGCCTTCTGGAGAGCCTCCGTCCCAGAGCCTCGTCCTTCCTTCCTTCCTTCCTTCGCTCGTTCGCTCATTCAGTGCTGGATGCACGTGTACTTTCTGTGCCCATCAGTGGTGGTCCCAGGGCTGGGGAGGTGCTGGCTGGACGCGGGGAGAGCACTGACCGGGATGACGCACTCCTGATCCCCCCTCGTTAATGAGCAAACATACACCAACAGGTCATTTAAAGTTCTGAGTTACAGTTAGTGTAAGTGGCCGCCACAGCGGGAGCCAATACAGAGACACTGGGTGGGGCTGGCTGGTCCGCAGAAGCCTGGCCCCTGCGGGGACGCGCCGGGGAGGGAGCAAGGGGCCGCCTGCAGGTGTGCGGGCGCAGCGTGTGCAAAGGCCCTGTTGGGAGAAGCCGCAGGGCAGAGCGGCCGTGAGAGGCGAGGTGGGGGAGCTGCACAGGGTCTCTGGTCATCCGTTCCTGCTGCATTTCACGAGCCCGCAAGGAGTTAACGCAACAAACCTGCAGCCTGGGTTTGACCTACTTCCTGTTCCTGTCGGGTTCAGCATCTGTTGTCCGTGTCTGGCGAAAACGGACTTGCACGGAGCAGAAAAGTCTTGAAATGCATTTTCAAGGTAACGATAGTAAGACGGGGATGCCCTGTCGTGGGAGAAGACAGTGCAGCGTCGAGCGCCCGGTGCCGAAGGGCCCTGGTCCCGGGGTGGCAGGAGCCCTGGCCTTGAGCCCGCTCGTTGAAGCGGCCCCTGGGCCTTGTAGAATATTAACCGTCCCCGTGTCTGCTCCACACAGCCGGTCAGTCTTCACAGCCCAGCCCAGAGGCCAAGGGCAGACACTCTCTGCCCCCGGCCGACTGCCGTCTCCTCCCTGTGACCTACGGTGGAGCCTCCCCTCGGTCCAAGTTCATTTTGTGGTGGCAGAGGTGGTTTTGCTAAAATTATTTCTAAATGTGCCACGTGGATGACCGTGTGCATCAGGGGAGGCCATCTGCAGTAGCGAGGATTCCACGGAGGCAGCGATTTTTGTGCTGGCGTGTCTCGTCTTGTCCCCTGCTCACCTGCGGTCACCAGCTGCCAGCCGGGACCTCTCCTCCGTCTCTGCCCCCCCCCCCCCCCCCCCCCCCCCCCCCCCGCCCCATGGCCCCGATGGGCTGCCCCGTCCTCACCCCCGAGGTCTGGGTTTTGCCCCCAGGGTTCTGTCTCTGGATCTAAACACCACATCCCTCCCTCTCTGAGGACGATGTCCCCCGGACGCCAGTTCCGGAAACTCGCAGCCAGTTTGCGAGGTGGGCTTCCTCCACTTGGAGGGCGCTGTGTTTGGACCTTCTCCTGGCTCAGCAGCCCAGATGGCCGCCTGGGGTGATTGTCGGGATGAACGAGGAACAGACACACCAGAGGTCCCCCTTAGCACTGCCCTCTCCGCTGCTGCCCTGGGGGCCGGCTGTCCCGCGTGGGTGTTGAGGGCACACCCAGCTGACCTCTCGTGCCCCCCACTGCCTCCACTCACCCCAAGGGAAACTGGGGCCGCACCCAAGAGGCAGGTGCCCTGGTCAGACTCCTCCCCGATAAGGAGAGGGTCCCAGGGGGCCCTGGGTGGACGGCCTCTCTCCAGGCACTCCCCCATCAGAGGCCCGCTGGGGTTACGTGGCATTTCTTTGCCTCAGTTTCCTGGTCTGGTGTGACCTGCATGGGGGTGGGGACTCCAGCAGCTCAGATGAGCTGATGCACAGACAGGCTAGCACCTCGCTGCACACAGACATGGCCACACGGGGTGGTGGCCGTTGGGGGCCGTCGAGGCCGGCCTCATTGAGGGGAGGTGGGGTCCGCAGAGGTCCCTGTGGCAGGGACACTTACTTGGAGGGAGGTTTTGGCCTTGCTAGAATTTATTAGGTAAGGGTCACACTTTTACTTTGTCATTATTGATACACGATCTCGCACTTCCAGGGGGAGGCAGGGGCGCTTCCAGGACTTGGGAGGGGCGTGGAGGCTCCCGTGTGCTGCTCTCACCTCCGGGGGGCTAGGTGCTCGTGAGTTTGCCTTGCTTCCTCATGGCTGGTTTTCTAAAGTAAGCAGGTCGGTGAGGGAATACTTTTGTTAAAATGATTCTTTGTAAAGGGATCTTGCAGGGCGCCTGTGGGACTGGCCCAGCCCCTTGCAGGTGGGGGGGGTCTTCTTTCTGTCCCTGCTGTCCCTCTGACGATATGGAATTCTGCGTGTGTCCCCTTCTGATTTTAGTTTGGACAGCTCTGGGCTTTCCCTCAGTAAAGCCTTAAAACCTTTCAAAAGGCTTAATTTCTAGGAGAAACGGGCCCCTTTTTTGTGCCTAATTACTAAAGCCCGTTTTGAATCTCCGGCAGAATTTAAGAATCTAAAAAACCGCACCAGCCAAGTCCTCTAGCGGGGGAGGCTGGTGCCCCTCCCACTCTTCCAGGTGGGCCCTGGATTCCCCGTGCAGTTGCTCATGCCCCCGGCCCCTTTCTCTCCTTTGACCTTGTGATAAAAGCCCAGGGATGACCTTGAGTGGGGGAGGCTCCGACGCTAATTTACTTGTTCTCTTTTTAGTTTGTGTTCCTTTGTTTCACTCATTCATTCAAGCCAAGCTGTTGTGACCACAGGCAGGCAATTGAGGTGCACTTGGCCTCTCGGCCACTGAGTGTGGGACCCAGAGCAAAGGACTTCAGGTTCCTGGTGCCTCAGTTTCTCCCTCTTGGTAGGACTGCCTGCCCGTTGGGCACACTGTGCTCTGTGCTGGCAGCAGTCGCTCGTTGTCGCTCACCTGCTAGGACAGCCCCAGGAAGGGAGAGGTGTGCTCAGGGGTGCACGTCGCAGCCTCAGCCAGCCCCCTGGACGTGTGCGTGTGCACACGCGCGCGCACATGCATGCGCGTTCCTGCCGGCCGTGTTGCCCCATGTCTGTCCCTGTTACTTGGAGGTTAAGGACCAGGCAGGCTTTAGAAACGCAGAAGTGACCGGAGTCCAGGCAGCGCCAGGCTCTGGCCGGCCCTGCAGCCCTGCCTGGGAAACCCGGGACGTGAGCCGCTGTGGCGCAGAGCAGACCCCGGCAGACGTGCGGCTGACGCAGCAGGCGCCTGCCCCGGACGTGACGGGCGTGTGGTGGATACGGGACAGGAACAGAGCAGCGCCGCTGACACGGTGGCTTCGCCGCAGGTGTGTGTCGAGAGTGGCGATGTGAGGCGGGAAGGACACGCGACGTAGGACAGGGACGGGCGGACGTGTGTGTGGAATAGACACGGCAGCCGCACCGCGGACTCCTGAGCAGCACGGGTCCGCTTACGCGTTGTCGTGCCCACACGGTGCAGGGCCGCACGTGTTTTCCTCGTGATTTTCTTTCCTCTCACGTCCTCCGTTCTCAGAATACGGCGCGTCGCACGTAGTGACGCCTCCCTGTGTCGCTGCGGCCACAGAAACGTGTGTTCTCCGTGAGGCCTCCTGGTCAGTAGTGAGCTCCTCATACTCTCCATGGGTTTTTGTTGGGGGGGGCGGTCAGCACCCCCAACCAAGGTGTGGCTCAAGGGTCACCTGGGCGGTGGGTCTGCCGCAGAACCGCACCTGTGACAGGTGCCTAGTAAACACAGAGGCCCAGCGCCTGATGCAGAAACAGGAACGCTTCCAGGGTCCTTCTCACCAGAAGGGGTTGTGGGTAACGGGCTGGAGAAGCTGTGCTGTTTCCTTTTCTTCTTTTCACTCTTCCTATCCCCGCAGGTGGGAACGTAACTTCTGCGGGGCCCTGGATCCTGTCCTCGCCACGACCCTGCCTCCAGCCCTGCCCGGACCCATCCCTTGGCTCTGCCTGAGATTTTTTTTTTTAATTATTTGTATCCTACCCCCCCCCCCCCCCCGAGTCTTGTGGGCTTTGCAAGTCCTGCTCCCCCCCCCCCCCCCCCCCGAGTCTTGTGGGCTTTGCAAGTCCTGCTTGCAGATTTTTCATTCTGTTTTTGTTTGTTTGGGTCAACCATAGACTCTTAGAACTTCATGTCTTTTTTTTCTTTATTTCAACTTTGTAGAAGAGAAGTATAAAAATACAGCCCCCTCACTGGGGGGGGTCCAGAAGCAAATGTAATGGCCAGCCGGGGGAGCAGTTAGCCCAGAAGTGGCCCATCTAGGGATCACGGGACCCCCCCCCGCCCCCCGCTTTTTCTTCTCTGGGGAGGCGCAGAGCTTCTCTTGAAGACGAGGTGTGAAGGAGGTGCCTGCGGGAACTTTCCTGAGCCCCCTGGCCACCCCCCTGTGTGCCAGGGCACCTTGCGCACACAGCCGCCTCCCTAACCCAGGCCTCACTGCCCCCAGCACCCTGTCTTAACCGCCTCTTGATTTCGAGTCACGTCAATTTGATAAATAAATTTTTAATATTGTAGCAATTATAAGCCTTTCTCAGTGGATAGAGCTATGGTTGGCTTTCTTGGGTCACTTTTAGGACACAGCGAGGTATAAATAGTGGAGAGTCCGCTGCCGTGGTCTGAATGCTACTTAGGCCCATGGTGAAAATGGAGGTGTGAGTGTAATTCCTGTTCTCGGGAACCTTCCGGTTACAGGTGAGGGCTGGCACAGCGCAGTAAATGATGGGGCCCGTGGACGTGGACGGCGCGGTGTGCGCCCGCTGCACCGGTGCTTCCTGGGCTGTCTCGTCGGCTGCCCAGACTCGGGCAGAAGGGTGGAGAAGCTGGGGCTTGCACTACCACAGCTGATCGTCAGAGATGGGGCCAGACTCTTGGGTTCTCTAGCCTCGCAGAGGATGGCGGCCCTGGACACGGGGCACGTGCCCTGGAGGGGCAGGGAAGACCGTGGACTTTGTCACTTTCAAATAGCCTGATTCTCAGGGTCTCCTGTGCACAGGCACCACGGTGGCCACGTCTGGTTCAGGGACTGGGCTGAGGCCACCTGTGCACAAGGAGTTTGTGTCCTGATGGGGAGAGGAAGGACGGACAGGGGAGCCCGCAAGTATATGGAGCCACAAGGCGGCTGGAAGGGCTGGGGGGGGGGGTGCTCCCTCCAAGAAGATAGGAGCCACTCTGCCCAGGTAGGAGGGGATGAGGCGGGGATGCAGAGAACAGGGGCGGCGGGGGGGGGGGCACTGAGAGGCGGGAGCCACAGGGCTGAACGTGATTGGTCCTGTGGAATCGGAGCCAAATGGGGCGGCTGCTACCCAGGAGGGGGTTGGGGAGAAGGGCAGGAGCCCCGCACTGGGACAGCGTTGGCGGGACCTGGAGGGCTGGGGGCGGCTCCCCTGTGAACAGGTGGGGGTAGGAAGTGAGTGTGGAGGGGGGGGCGTGGGCAGGTGGCCGTGAGCAGGTCTCCTCGCCCCCCGCCCCGCCCCTGTCCGCCCTCAGGCTGTTTGCAGTGGGGAGTCCGCCCGCATCTGGGACTGCGCCGTGGGCCTCTGGCTTACTGTGCTCACCTGCGGCCCCATGGGCTTCCCGACGTGGTGGTGCTGTCCCAGCGGACTCTCGGGCACATGGTTCTGGGCCGTCATTCCTTGTCACAGAGCCAGCGCCCTCTGCACCGGGGCCTCCTGTCCAAGGGCTTCAAAGGCCCATGCACTGGTGTCACGGCCACGCTGGCCCTCCCGCTGGATCCTGCGTCGCGTCTACTTGTCCTGTGCTGGCCTTTCAAGCCCAAAGGTGGCTGGGGACACGGGGTATCTGACGTGTAGGGGAGGTGGTCGTGAGCGTGTGGGCGGCTCACTGCTCACAACAGGCTGGTTTCCCTCCGGCTGGTGAGAGTGAAGTGAGGGCAGCAAGCTGGTCTGGTGTCACGTGAGGTCTTCGTAAATGTGCAGGCAAAATGGATTTGGGGTGAGGCAGTCACGTGGCTGAGAGCTTCAAAGAGGAGATGACAACCACCCCCCCCCCCCAGGCCTGTCTGGGTGCTGCTCCAGGAGCTGTGATCAGGTGACTTCGGGAGCCTTTCTTTCAGGTGTTCAGTAGTCGTGGGACAAGTCCCTCCAGGGTGGATGGGGGGCTGGGACCTCCGTGGCCTCGTTTGCACCTGACTTGTTCCGGAGGCCCCAGCCCCCCGCGCCACTGACCTCTGATTCTCATTTCTTGTGACCACAGAGCCCTCGCCCCCAAGGGCTGGCTCTGGAGAGACAGGGGCTCCAGCCCAGAGGGGACGCCAGAGACAGAAAGTGGAAATGAGTTTCTTGTTTGTCTTTTTAAGAAAATTGTTATGAAAAATTCCAAACATCCACAAGAGTAGAGTTGTGTACCGAAGACCTTCTCCTGCTCCACCGGTAACTTCTGGCAGCCAGAGCCCGCCTTCCCCGGCCCAAATCCTGGCGGCCCAGCATCCTCAGAGAAACATTCCAGCCACAGTCTCCACAACACGGGCATTGCATCGTAGCGCGCTCACTGCCACGAGAAAGCATTTATCGTCATGTTCTAATCTTGCCAAACTGAAACTACTATTCCCATTTCCTAAACCACCTCAGTTTCTTAAAAGTGGGCTCGGTCTTGAATCAGACCTGTAATCTATAAGGCCCGCGCCTCGCAGTCAGAAGCTGTGAGATCAGTAGATGTCCGTGTACCCTCTGCCCAGCGCCCCGCGGTGTGTAACGTTGCATCCGCACCAGGGTCCCCCCCCCCCCCAGGCTGTTCTGGGCCCCTCCCTGCCCCCACCCTCCCTGAGCCCTGCCAGCTGCAGACCTGTTCTCTCCATAATTTGGTGTTTGGTGCGTGCCATAGGCTCCGCTTGTGGTCCTCTGGGGCTGGCGCCTGGGAAGTGGCACGCCCCTCTGTGCCAGCTCCTTTCTGTTGCTGCGTGGCGCTCACAGCCCCGGTCAGCCGCTCAGCAGCTGCCCCCTCCTCCCTGCAGCAGCACCAGGCACCCGCCCGGTCAGCGGTGGGGGGTGCCTGAGGCGATGAGGAGGGGCAGGGTTTACGGAGGGTGTGGCCAGAGCTTGCAGGCAGGAGGTCTGCTGTGGGGGTCCCTGCGCATCAGGAGCCCCTTCCCCCACCGCTTCTATCCCTGCTTTCAGATCGGCTCCTTGGGGCAGGTCTATGCAGAGAGCCACTCCCCTAGGCCCAGTCACTGCCACCTGGGTTTTGGGGACACTCACGCTTCAGCCCTGGACTCCCTTAAGTCCCTGTGTAGACCTCGGCTCTGCCTGGGACTTAGCCCGCCCTTGCCACACCCTCTCCGAGCTCCTGTCCCGGGGGCTTTAGATCCTTTCCCCAAGACCTTTCTTCCTTATGATTTGATCCTCAGACACGAAATTTACAAAAATGTGGCTCCTGGGTGCATTCGGCCTCCATCCAGCCGTCTCTCCGTCTCTCCCTCGGAGGTTTGCAGATGTTGGCCTGGGAGGGGAGGGGAGGGTGGTTTCCTCGGAGATGAGCCGGGAGCTGACCCCTCCTGTGTTCCCGCAGCTCCAGGACAAAACCTCTTACTTCCGGGCATCGCTGAGGCCACGGCGCGTCTCGCAGGTCCCTGTGTTCCTCGGGGCACGATACCGGCGTTTCTAGTTTTGGCCTCTTAGATTGGACGCGGAATGTCGAGGGGCTGGGCTGGCATCTGGGCGGGAGGAGGCCCGGGTGTGGGCGTGGAGTGTGGCACAGAGGTACTTGGGCTCCAGTCCCTGGAGGCGATTCTGACAGATGGCCTGTGATGTGGCCCCGGAGGAGGACGGTCAAGGCCATTGGTGTTGAGCTAGAAGGTGCCCCGGTGCCCAGATGTTTGAGCGTGGGGAGATGATGGTGTTGTCACTGGCAGAAGGGGCAGGGAGTGGCTGAGGGGCAGCCCACCCCCCATCCACGGCCCTGGGAGGTGGGCGCCGGGTCCAGGGCCCCGCGAGGCTGGCTTTGGGGGAAGAGGCGGCTTGCGGGTGGTGTGAGCACGTGACCCGGGCGCTGCAGGACGTGGTCGCGTTGGGGAGTCAGGGACATCAGGCAGAGAACCTCCTCCCCACCTGTGGCGAGGACAGGAGGGCACGCTGAGGCCCCTCGGGGACCCGGGAGCAGGTTTCTGTGTGCGTGCTGAGCGTGTGCTTCCCAGGTGTCTGTGCTAATCGCAGTGACGTCGGCGCGCTGTCTGGTGAGCAAAGGCGCCTTTGGGACAAGAGACGCCCCTTTATTCTCATGGAGAGAATACGGTTGACGTTTGTTCTTTTTAGAGGTGCTCTTATGTGACACCACTTACGGAGGTAACCAAATAATAGGTTACATTTTGGGCACGGGCTCCAAAAAGTTCATCTTAGAGAGCAGGTTATAAAAAGCCAAAAACAAAGTTAAGAACACAGTCCCGGGTCCCCTCTTAGGCCTGCACTTTTCTCCGTGGAAGAAAATGGCCCGGTGCCTCCCTTTATTTTTATTTTATTTTTTAAAAATACTTTTATTTATTTCTAGGATAGAGAGAGAGAGAGACAGCATGAGCAGGGGAGGGTCAGAGAGAGAGGGAGTCACAGACTGAAACAGGCTCCAGGCTCTGAGCTGGCAGTCAGCACAGAGCCTGACGCGGGGCTTGAACCCACGGACCTAGAGATCATGACCCAAGCGAAAGTCGGACGCTTAACCGACTGAGCCACCCAGGCGCCCCTGCCTCCCTTTATTTTTAACCAGAACAAAGCATGCCAGCAACTGTGAAGTTGAGAGCGTTCATGGAGAGAGTTTCTACAGGGGATGCCCCCCCCGGGCGCCATTCCCCCCGACCCCCACACCAGATAGTCTTGCTTGTTTTCGAACTTCCTGTCGTGGAATCCCACAGGGTCTCAGCCAGCGTTCTGTGAGTGTGAGTCCCCCGAGTGCCCTGCGGCCCTGGCTCAGCAGCCCCTTGCCCTCCGGGCCTCCCCGTGTGAACGCACTGCAGCTTCTCCAGTGTGCCCAGGGAGGGGCCAGCTTTCAGCTGCTGCGCGTCCGTGCACCCGGGCGGTGGGTGAGCACCGAGCCTCAGGGTCTGGGCCTGATCTGCCGTCTTTCCTGAAGTGGCCACGCCGGGTCGCGCTCTGCCCTGGTTCCGGACATCTGTCGTGTGGACACAACCAGTGGCCAGTTGTGACACCAACCGAGTGTCCTGCTGTCTCGCTGCCTCCTGACACTGTCTGCCCGAGTCAGTGCAGGCCCCGCCGGTTGAGTCCACAAGACTCAGCCCCAATGTCCCTGACCTACCCACAGAAGTCACGTGTCCCCAGACCCCCTGTCAGGTTCAGGAATGTGCCAGAATGGCTCACAGGGCTCAGGAGGACACCTGAGTGTCCAGCTTATCGTCAAGGGTACGACTCGGCCAGCCTGACTGGGAAGCTGCAGAGGGTGAGGTGGGGGCCGGGCCCGCAGACGCCCGTGGCCTCCCCAGGCACACGCCAGCTGTGGACATTCACGGAAGTTTCATCACAAAGCTGTGATGATGGAGTCCTTGGCCACGGGTGGCTGACTGACTCCAGCCGCTGTCCCCTCCCCCGAGGCGGGGTGTGGGGTGTGGGGCCCCAGCCCCCGCTTGTTTTAGAGACTTTCTGCCTGCCTTTCTCACCTGTTTTAGGGGCAGTGTCATTATTCCGCACACACTTCCCTTATTAGCTTTGTTAAATACTTTTAAAAATATAGTTTTTAAAATATTCTGGCCGCCTTAGAAATAACAAGAGATGTTTGTGGAATGTACCTTAAATACTTGTATTGTTTCCCAGGGAAGGCAAGAACCTTAGAGCACTGAGTTACATTTAACGCCTGTCAATTTCTATGCTGTTATTGTCGTGCATGTGGATTTCACATAATTTTAAACCCCACAAATCATCATTTATAATAGTTTTAAACGATGCTCATTCAGACTTAGCTGTTGATGTAACCTGAGGTCTTCATGGCTTCCTGTGTGATCATGCTTATGTCCGAGGCCATTTTTCTTCTGTTAGAAATACTCCCTTTAGTATTTCTGTTGGCACAGAATCGCTGATAATTAATTGGTTTCGTTTGCGTGAAAATGTGTTTTGCATTCATTTCTGAGGGATGTTTTCCACCGGGTGCGCTAGTGTAGACAGACAGGATCGTTCCGCCAGTGCTTTGACTTCGCTGTTCTCTGGCCTCTGTTGTTTCTGTCAAAAGTCACCTGTCATTCTTGTTGTTCCTTGAGGGTGATGCTTCCCTCTCTCTCTCCCTCTCTCTCTCTCTCTCTCTTCTGGCTGCTTTTAAAGTGGTCTCTTGTTCTTCCGTTTCAGCAGCCCTGTGAAAGGGAAGTATTGAATTTATCCCACCTGAGGTTATAGAGCTTTTTGGATCTAGGGCGTAATATCTCTTGTCTTTTTGGAAAATGTCAGCCAGTACCCTTCCCACCACGGCCCTATTCCCTCTGCCTCCTTCCCTCAGGGCTCCGGACCCACGGTTTTGGACCAGGTCCCATATGTCTCTTATGCTCTTTTCTGTATTTTTTTTCCATCCTGATTTTCTTTACCTTCTGTGCCTCAATCTGGATATTTTCTATTGATGTGTCTTATTTGGTCTCCTCGGCTTTTAAATCTTTCTCCTGAATTATTAACTTCAATTACTTTTTTGCTTTTTAAATTTCTGAAATCCTCGGATTTTTTTTTTTAGGGCTTCTTTTTCTCTGGGTCTAGTTCAATGGTGAAATTCTTTCATCTAATCTTTTTAAATACATTTGAAAGTCTGAATCACCTGAGTCTATTTCTGTAGACTCTCCAATAGGCTTCTATATCTTGGCCTGCCAGGTAATTTTTGATTGAATATCAGATATTGTGTTTGAAAAACTTCAGGCACTCTGAATGATGTTGTGTTCCTCATGAGGTAATTTAATTTTATTTTGGCAGACGGAGTGTGGACATACCGCCTTGATTCAGCTCAGGCTGGCGCCTTGCCCATCCCCATGTGTGTCGTTCAGTAACGTTAACCCCGCAGGTCTGGGGGTCAGCCGGACCCCAGGCTCCAGCCCTTGTCTCCCCAGCACCAGGAGCAGCCAGCATCTCTCCCAGGGCTGTCTTTGGGGTTTTGTTGTCCTTTCTGCAGCTGCTCTTTGCTTGGCTTATTGGCCTCTGGCCTTGAACTTGTGCAGCTCAGCATCCAGCAGATGCCTCGAAGGGCGACCATAGGCCAGGCTGCAGGTTCTCTTCTCCACGGCTCCCTCTTTTACGGGGTCTCGAGGGAGCCTCACAGGCCAGGGTAACGATGCCGCCCCAGTGGGCCCGAGGGCAGCGCATCAGCCTTAAGATCCAACAGGATTTGCTTTGCTCCATTGTGGGCGTGCTCAGGACCCAGCACCTTTTGCTTCCTTCCTCTCTCCCTTTCGGAGCAGGAATGGCCATCCCGGCCTGTCCCAACACTGTGTTGTGGAAGCACATACCTTGTTTGGTGCCACAGGTTCCCAGCTGGGCAGGAATTCTGTCTCTGGGTGAATCATGCCTAGAGTCTCATCTGTGCCCGGTGTAGACGAGACTGGACGGCAGGGCTGACGCTGGGATGGGTTTAGACTTTGGGGGCTGGTGAGGTGGAATGTGTGCTCTGCATGTGAGAAGGACATGGATTTGGGGGGACGGGGGCAGAGTGTTAGGGACTGATGTGTGCCTGCCAGACTCCTCTATGGAAGCCCTAACCCCTCACGTGATGGTGTTTGGAAACGAGGTCTCGGGGAGGTGATAGTTGAGGTCACGGGGCGGGGCGCTCATGGTGGGATCAGTGTCCATCTAAGAGCGGGACAGCTGTCTCTGCGTCTTCCGGCCAGAGCCGGCCGCACCTGCGCCCCAGTCCTGCCCAGACCTCCAGCCTCCGGACCCTGAGAATGACCTTTGGTTGCTCCCCACCCCCCACTGCCCCCCGTCTCTGGTGTTGTGTCACAGCGGTCCAGGCTGGCTGAGACCTTTCCTTAGGCTTGGGTTTTCCTGGAGACACAGAGGCCCAGTTTCTATCTCTGGATGGATGCCTCCAAAGACACAAAACCGCCTGATGGGGGCGCCCTGGGGGCTCAGTCGGTTAAGTGTAGGACTCTGGATTTGAGCTGTAATGATCTCACTGTTCATGGGTTCGAGCCCCACACTGACAGCATGGAGGCTGCTTGGGATTCTCTCCACCTCTCTCCCTCTCTCTCTGTCTCTCTTTCCGGCCATCCCCCGTACGCTCGCATGCCCATGCTCTCTCTCTCAAAATAAATAAACAAACAATAAGGAAAACAACCTGAGGACACAAGGTGGCCCCGGGGGAGCACCCCTTCTCCTGGCATCTTGTCTCCTGCGCACGCGTCTGCCCGTGAGGCCCCGGCACGTTCCCATGGTTGTTTTCCTGCTGTCGTGCTTTGTTCTGGAGGCAGATGCGGCGTGCGCAGGGCCCGTTCTCATGGTCGGGGCTGCTGCTGCCCTCGTAGGGGCATCTCTGGCTCCGGGACACTTCCCAAGCTGACAAGGGCTGTGGCCCACGTGGCTCGTGAAGGCCACCCACCTCCCCCGCCGAGTGGCTCCCTCCTTTAGCTCTTCACCCACCTTCCACAGCTCAGCACCCTCGGGTCCTCACCTCCAGCTGGGAGCACCCTGCTGAGAGGCAGTGCGTCCTGGTGCAGACTTGTGATCGGCTGTGCGTCCTGTGCCTGTCCCTCCCCAAGGCCCTGGCACGGCGACGGCGTACTTGTCCCTCAGGACCCGCCAGACTGCGCGGCAGCCCCAGATACTTTTCCCGCAGCCGGGCTGGCGTCCCGCCCAAAACCAGGCTGCTGTTTGCAGAAGGTCACATGGCACGTGGTAGGAGCCTCTCGGTGGGAGAGCAGGGGGACCTGGGGGGAGTGTCCTGTGAGCACAGACGCTGGCAGGGTGATGGTGGCACAGAGAACAGCCCTGAGGGCCACCGGCCCCCACCTCTGTCCCCTCACGTCAGCTCTGCACACGGTCCTGGATGACGAGTGACCAGGACATCACAGACGTCTTAGCCGGAAATGCACTCTGTCAATACGGTTCTGTGTCACAGAAGGAGCCAGGCGGTCCCCGCCCTGCAGGGCACAGAGTCAGGAGGGGGTCACTTTCCCCGAGGAAGCAATGCCCGCTCTGCCCTGAGCCCTGGTGTCGGCTGCACGCCACTCCCACCCTGTGGCCTCGCTTGGGGCCATGTCACCAACGTGGGACCCTCTCCCTGGGGGCATTGGGCCGTGCCGTCACCATGCCCTGGCATGTGCCACATCATGGGGGCACTCGCGCCTGGTTCTGTGAGGCACCGCACAGGGCTGAGCCGGTCACCCGGGCCGTGGTCCGCTGCCTGTGAATGAGAGGGGCCTGGGCGCCGGGCACAACCCGTGAGTGTCCCCGTGTCGGGCGCGGCTGCTCCACACTCTGTGCTCCGCTCTCTCGGCGCCCTCGAGATGCTCGATTGCCATGGAAACAGAGCTCGTTAAGATCCCAGCAGCCTCCTCATTCTACAATCTCGAAGACAAACGGGGAGTTTCTTCCAAGGGTTGGAGTTGGGGGGTGGGGGAGGGCAGCCCACGTGCACCCAGCACCGGCTGGAGCTGGCCCGGCTTCGCCACGAGTCCACGGCCGCGGCACCCGTGCCCGGGAAGAGCCCCGGCGGGCACACCCCGACCTCGGAGCTCGGCCTTGACCGCGCAGCCGTGACAGAACCCTGTGAGCCTTCAGGACTGTGGGCGGACTCCGCATCCGGCATGCGGGCCCCTCGCCTGTGGGCCGAGCTCCATGGGCACTGCGATCGGCGGGGACGAGGTGGACACACGGCGGGGGCGCGGGGCCGGTGCTGTTCCCAGAGCAGCCGCCGCTCCGCATGCACGTGTTCTCTGATGACACGTGCTCTTTTCTTCTTTTGTAAGCCGTGCCTGTCACTTCGGATCGGGAATAAAGGCTGTGACTTTCCAGGCGGAAACCCAGACTCTGCGAATGTGACCGTTGTCTGAGCCAGTGGCCTGCGAGGGGAGGGAACCGCCGGGCCCCCAGGGCCTCCATCGTCACCTCTGAGCTCAGGGGCCCAGGAAGGCAGAGTGGGCTCCATCCAGCCCTGCACTTGGGGAACCTTCCAGTAAAGACTCTGAGCTTCGAAAGCTTTGGGGGCTTTGGTGTTTGCCATTGTGGGAATGTGGGCCTTTCAGAAAAGGCGCTCAGTTGGTGCAGAGGTTAAGGAGGTGCTAATCCTCACCCAGTCCTGAGAGAAGCTCCAGAGACCCCCAGAGGGGCCTGCGACATGGCGTCTGACCCTGAGGCCAGCAAGGTCATCAAAACCACCGTCTGAGAAGCCACCACCAGCAGCGGATTCGAGGAGGGTCGACATGCCGTGCGGGACTGAGGGTGTCACCTGGGCCAGAACCAGCCCGTCAGGGAACAGCTAAGCCAGCGGAGCAGAGCCTGTGCCTTAGTTGGCCACGCGTCAGTGTCAGTTCGTTGGCTGTATGGAAGGCCCCAGCCCCGCGTACGATGTGAACCAGAGGGGAGCGGGGCCTGCGTGCCTGCGGTCTGCACCGCTCCTCCCAAGTCCAAAACTGTAGATCGAGGTAAAGTGTCGAGTGTGTTAAAAAGGAAGTTGCAGGGGAAGCTGGCGGAGGCGGGAGGTTACACGCTCACCTCAGTCTTAGAACCTGAGGTCAGTCAGGTGTTAACGTGAGGGGAGCCGTGGGCAGGGTATGTGGGAACTCTTCAGTTCCTGCGAACTTACCTCGAGATAAGAAGTAGAAATGTGTATACATTCCAAAGTGAAGGGTGTCCCGCTGTCCCCTGTGGTCCTTTATAACTCGCCCGACCACTGCTTTCCAGCAAGCGACCTGCGCGTGGATCAGAACCCCCTGGGGGGCCCCCCTCCTTTGCCTGAGGTCAGGCCATGGACGTTGGGCCTTGCGGGGTCTGCAGTGCCAGGGTCTCTGAAAACACCTTCCTGTCTCTGCGTAGGGTGGGTGATGGGAAATACCACCCGAGAGACCTGGGGAGTCCGAGTTCCAGAGAACCAGACCAATGGGATGTGTGTATAAAGAGAAAAAGAGCTTTGTTGTAAGGAATTGGCTTGGTATGTGGCCAAGTCCAAAAGCTGCAGCAGAGGCAGACAGAGCCCCGAGAAGAGCCTGTGCTTCAGTGCAGGTCCAAAGCCCAGCTGCTGCAGAGTCCCCTGTTGCTCAGAAGACACCAGTCTTTTTTTGTCTTCAGGCCTTCAACTGATTGAATGAGGCCCGTCACACATTGCAGGCCAGTCTGCTTCATTCACATTCCACTGATTTAAATGTCAGTCTCATCCAAAAACACCCTCGTGGAAACATCCCAAACAGTGTCTGACTGCGTATCTGGGCGCCGTGGCCCGGCCCAGCTGAGTACAAAATGAACGAACCATCATGTCCTACCCCCTGCCAAGAGGCACCCATACATGTTCCTGAAAACATACTCAGTCTCGAGTTAAAGACAATAGCAACATGTTGTCTCACATACCTGGCAGGTGGGCCGGTGGGTGGTGGTGGGCGGTGGTGGGCGGGGAGGGGCACAGCCTAGGGTGTACCTCCAGGGGCCACTTCTGTCGGCGAGCCAGGAAGGGGGAGGGGCCGCCTCTGGGCAGGACTGGCAGCCGAGAACAGGGCCTGTCTTTGCCTACACAGAGCTTTGTTTCTCCTTTTATTTTCTATTACTATTTTTTAAATATTTTTATTTATTTCTAGGAGAGAGAGAGAGACAGCGTGAGCAGGGGAGGGTCAGAGAGAGAGGGAGACACAGACTCTGAAACAGGCTCCAGGCTCTGAGCTGGCAGTCAGCACAGAGCCCGACGCGGGGCCCGAACCCATGAACCGCGAGATCATGACCTGAGCGAAAGTCGGACGCTTAACCGACTAAGCCACCCAGGCGCCCCTGTTTCTCCTTTTAAATTTGATGTGCTTTATTTAAAATGAAATTAAGCACCTGCCCCCCACCCAAAGTAATTAAAATAAGTCCTTAAAGGAAAAAATGATAGAATTATTTCAAGATGAGTCTGAGGGAAGTGTCTGAAAATAGTTTGTAACCATATTGTTGCCACTCTGGCTGCTCCCTCTGTTTTTACATCTTGTTTATGGTGTAATGTGACATCGAGGCACCTCAGGAACAGGTAGATCACACACTTCAGTGTACAGTGTATTGGACATGTGTGCCCATAGCCTCCAGCCGGGATAGAGCTTAACCCACACCCACTCCAGTGTCCTGTCTCCTGGAGGCCACACTGCCCTGAACTTGGCATTGGTCTTTCACTTACTAGAACAATTTCATCTCATGATTGCAGATCCTGAAACAATTCATTATTGACTTTGCTTGTTTTGTAGCTGTACAAGAGTGGGACCATTTCCTACAGCCCAGTTTATATGTATTAATATATCATTTTATATTGACTTTTTAGGTAGTTTGATTTTTGAAGATGTATCTGTCATGCTGAGGGTGGCTCAAGTCGGATGTTACTGCCAGTCGGTTCTCTGTGGTGCAGCCACACACTCAGTGTGTCCATTTTCCATCCTCTGGTCTGTGGCCCTGGGTGTCTTCAGACATCCTTGAATGTCCCCCAGCCCGTGTGCCACAGTTCCTCGTGGGCTTTGAACAAGGAGTGGGCAATTGCTAGGTCATGGGGGAAGCAAATGTTCCTCCCCGCAAATACTTTTGGTGCTAAGTTAGCCCCCCTCTCAGAGAATAAGCAGCTTCTAGGTTGCTGTACATTTGGGGTTGTTGGAGATTAACCTGGGCCCACTGCTCAGGCATCAAGGATGACTGAGGTGCATTTGTGTTTCCCTGACTACTTACGAGGTGAGGCTTCTGGTCATTTTCATTCACTGTCTGTCTTCTATGAAATGCCTGTTCTTGTCTTTTGTTCATGCTTTTCCTTTGTTAACTTATGGAACTTGTGTGTGCGTCCTGAGTCATGAAGCCTCACCATGTGTATGTGCTGATACTATAGACCGATTGTCTTTTGCTTCCATGGTGGCCTCTGGGTGGACACACATGCTTGTTTTGATGCACTCAGGTGCACTTGCTCCTTTTTCTACTGCCTTTTGTGTTTTCAGAGTTTTTCTCGCCTTCATATTAGTAAGATCTTCTACATTTCCTTATAGAATTTGTTGTCATTTGCTCCTCATGTGTAAGCTCCAGTTTTTTGGGGGACAGCTGCATGTGGAGTAAGGCCTGTGGGGGCCATATACAGCCCCTCGGTGAGTGTGCCTGCCCACTGTACACTCCCTAATGCTCCTTGGCCTCTGCGAGGACATCTTTGTGTGTCTTATTCCATGTGGCTTTAACCAAATTTGAAGGATATCCAGCTGGGCGTATTTTTAGACTTCTGTGTGGCAAGTGTGCCGGAATCAAGAAAGCCAGAGTGTTGGTGCCGGTACTGGTGTGTCTCCATTGGGCCAGCTCAGTTCCCTCTGGGTCTCTGTGTGCGCCGCCCCCCCCCCCCCCCGGTCTGGGTCTGTCACTCGGTGCCTTCTGTCTGCAGGACACCTGGGGGTTATGAATACTACATGCAATGTCAGGGGGTGTGACTGCCATGAGGGAGCAGCCAGTCCTGTGGATGTCAGCACGGACCCGCCGCCAGGCTGGCATCCCCCAAATCAAGCCGGGTGGCCTGGAAGGGCTGGGTATGGCAGGACATACCCTGTCAGCTGGGTAAAGCCCGTGGGGGTCGCTGGGGACTCCTTAGGGCCAAGGGACAGATAGATTGAGGGTGGTACTTGCCTTCCGTGGACCCCAGGCCTGAAGCCCAAGTGGGAACTTGTAGTGGGGAAGCGGGAGGGCAAAGGCTGGTGCCACCTCCTGCCTGGCCCTGCTCTTTTCTGGGAGTTGCTGAGAGCCTGTGGCAGGAAACCTCTGAGGGGGTCCCTGGCAGCGCGTGGGCCTCTGCCAAAGCCCCAGCTGCCTGGCCGCTGTGGGGCTCCTGCTCCAGAGGAATCCAACTTCTTGTTTCTCAGGACTTTGGCTTGAAGGGGGGGAGCAGGCTCCACAGTGACTCTGGGCTGATTTCGGCACCGTCCAGCCAGAGCTGGTAATTTGCTTGTTTTAAAAACATTGCGTTACAGTTTCCACATTGGTGTATATTCGTGGCACTTCCACGGCTCATGAAAGTGGCTTTCACTGCAGAACTTTATAAAAGCACAAAGCTTCCTGCTGTATCCTGAGTGTTCTGTTTGTAGCAGTGTTTGCTTCAGGGTTTTCGGAAGGAGCGAGTTATGAGCATTTTTAGGGAAGAATAAAACCAACAGTTCTCGTCACAGGACCGGCTCCGGCACTTTTGATTAGCGGTGTCCTTCTTACAAGTTTGGATCATTGATTGTGTTTGTTGAAAGTGACGTGTTGGGTAACGCTCGACTCAGCACGAGTGCCCGGCCTGTCTGCCCCACCTCTGCCCTGAGATCTGTCGGCCTGGGGACACCGGGCGGGGGTCTCGTGTGTCCGGGTGGGCGGTTCGCCCGGCTGAACACTGTGTCTCCGGGTGACCGTGGACTCCATGTGGCAGCCGCAGCCCCTCCGTGGATGGTAATGCGTGAGCTCACGGCCCGTCTGAACTGCATCCCAGTGTGGAAAAGGGGGCCTGGTTTCCGCCCCCGGAGGAAGGAGGGTGGAAAGGAAAACAAGGAGGAGGGCTTGGAAGCGGGTTGTTCTCCGCTGACCCTCCCGGGGGCTGTTTAGCTGCTGTGCTCCCGCCAGGGTGGCCGCCGGGCACCCCGTCGGCTCAGCCCCGGACGGAGCGGCCGTCCCCGCGGGCACTCGTGTGGGTGGGCTCGTGGGCGGCGGGCTGTTTGCTCACCTCCCTCCTGTCCTCCCTAGAATCCATCTACCGCCGCGGAGCCAGAAGATGGAGGAAGCTGTACCGCGCCAACGGCCATCTCTTCCAGGCCAAGCGCTTTAACAGGGTGAGTGCCGCCGCCTCGGCCCCCAGCCCGCGGGCCCGGCCTGAGCGGGACCCTCCCTGCAGAGAGCGGCCCAGGCCGCAGAGGCCGCCCAGCCGGTTCCAGAGCAGCCACGGGGAGGCTCTGGGCAGGCCTGCTCTGCACGTGGTGGCTGGTGGACGGATGCAGTCTGTGCGTCTCGGTGTCGCGCTGCCGGGGTGACACCGGCCACGCCGTGTGCTCTTGGCTGCGAGGGCCTCCTGTGCGTCCCGGGACCCCCACGCCACACCGCCCGTGTCTGCCACCCACGCGGCCCCACGGCCCGGCCTTCCTTCCCATCGTTTCTCCTCAGGACGCTGTCGTACTCTCCAGGAATGATGTGGCTCGTGTGGCTTTGTGGCCGGTCCACTTCACAGTGGAAGGGGGGGTGCCCGCAGGTGCACCTGGGGCTCCTGGAACCAGGCGCCACAGACGGGGGGCCTAGTGCAGAAAGTCCTTCTCTCCCAGTGGTGGAGCCACAGGCCCCCAGCCGAGGCGCGAGCAGGGCTGTGCCCCCTTTGCGGGCTGGAGGGGTGCGTCCTTCCGGCCTCTTTCCAGCTCCTGGGGGCTGTGCCGTCCTGGCACGCGGCCTCTCTTGTCGCATGAGGACGTCCGTCCGGGTCAGCGCCCTCCCGCTCCAGCATGGCTTCATTTTAACTAAGTTCCTCTACAAAAATTAATTTTCCAAATGAAGCCGCATTTGGAGGCTCTGAGTGGACGTGAATTCGGGGGACCCCATCCAACCCACCGCAGCAGCCCCACACGTGCGCCCCTGAGGGCCTTTGCACGTGCTGAGCGCTGCGCCCGGCACCCCCCGCCCCCCCCGTGCCCAGAGCGCATGCTCTGCTTTGCCTTCTGTCTCTCAGAGGACTGTCCCTGCAGCCCTCGCTCCGTGCCCCCGCCGCCCACGCGCCTGCCGCCCCTCACGGCTGTGTGCTGCCCCCCACGGGGCCCTGTGCTCTGGTCACAGGGACTCTGCACACAGGTTTGCTGTTTGCTATCGTTAATGACCGGAGGAAAGCCGGCCGGGGGAGACCTCTCCGGGGGAGACCGTGTAGGGACCAGGAAAGAATGGGGCGTGTCTGTCAGGAACGAGAAAGACGCTGGGAAGCAGGGTGGGTGGCGGATGCCTGGGGAGGTCAGGCGTCACCTAGCGAGTGAGTAGCCCCTGAGGACAGAGACGAGGCTGTGTGAATAATGGACCTTGTCACATCCCAGGCTGGACTGGCTGGGTGTGGGCGGGGTGTGCCGCGGTCAGCCACCAGACAGGATGAAACCTGGCTGCCGACACCATGAAGACATGGGAACATCCACCGCCCAGGCCCTGAGGCCCCTGCCGCCCCCTCCCCGTGTTTATCTTGCCAGCCAGCTCTGCGGCCGGGGGGCTTCTCTTCTGCATGTCTGGGCACAGGCCTGCTTGTGGACAGAGAGGAGTCTCAGCCAGGTGGAGCTGGCCACTTGACGGGATACCACAGAAGGTTCCAGGAGTCCCACTCCCCCATATTGACTTCCAGTGAATCGCTCTTTCCTTCACCACAGCTGACTCACCGCTCCACGACGAAGCCCACCCACCCAGCAAGACAGGCCGGGGCCCGGGCAGCAGAGAGGCCTGGCTCATCCCCTTCTCCCCCTGCAGATTTTAGGAGAATACCCCATTTCTCTGACTGCAGGGTGCAGACCCTGACGCTGCTGCCCTCTCCCCAAAACCAGTGAGAATGGTTTTCCTCCCCATTCCCACCCTGTCATACGTGTTCAGCTGTCCCCAGAGCACCAGAGTGGGTTTTCCCACCCATGGGGAGGGGGAAGGGGCCCGTCCAGAGACTCTCGACCCAGATCATTCGGTTGTTCACAGAATGAGGAGGCACATGTGGGCGAAATACGTTGCCAATTTTGATTTCCCATCTGACTGCCCTTGGCTCGGTGTCCCGTGTCTTGCCTGGACCCTGGAGGCTGACTGTGCCATTCACCGTGTTAATCCCAGGGCTGTGCACTTCGCCTTGACCTGTCCCTTGAAAGGATGTTTGCAGAGCCTCTCACTTGGTTCTACAGGAATCAGCAAGAATGTCAGTTCTTTTTTTTTTTTTTTTTTAGTTTTAAAAATTTTTAATGTTTTATTTCTTAGAGAGAGAGAGCGAGCATGATCAGGGGAGGGGCGGAGAGAGAGGGAGACACAGAACCCAAAGACAGGCTCCAGGCTCCGAGCTGTCAGCACAGAGCCCAACATGGAGCTCGAACCCATGAACCGTGAGATCATGACCTGAGCTGAAGTCAGATGCTTAGCCGACTGAGCCCCCAGGCGCCCCTTGTTTTATTTCTTAGTGACACGTGTCCTGAAGTGTTAACAAGTCAAACCTGGGTCTGAGATAAAGAGCGTGTGACAGCGTGTGGCAGTCTCTCCAGAGAAGCTGGGCCATGTGGGCTCCACGTCCTTGGCGTGGATGCCAGGCGAGCACACTGTGGGTCATCACTCAGCCCGGCCCGGCCCCTGCTCAGCTCTGGGAAGGACTGTGTTAACTTGGAAAGGCACCACATGGCTGTGAATTTGCCCCTAACTGCCACCCAAGCACTGCAGATTAAGTTGTTCAGTGGTGGCTGTGGGAAAACTAGCACATTAGCGTATTATGTACGAAAGGTGCAAATTTTCAGATGGCTTCATAAACGGTGTTTGACAGACACACGCAGATGAGAGTGAACGTCAGTCTTCATACATGAATCTCCTCCTTTGAATTCAAAGTTGGACATTTATCCAGCATGAAACTGTGGCCCCTGCGGCCAGCCCCCTGCGGGCCCTCGCTGCCGTCCGCTGCGCTCCAGGCCGTTCCCTGCGTCTGCCAGCTTGTGGGATGGGCGCATCAGACAACACGGAGGGCTTGGAATAAATTCTTCTCTTTACTCTTTCCAAAGTTAAAAGTGACGAGGGTGTGTGTGTGTGTGTGTGTGTGTGTGTGTGTGTGTGTGTTAGTGAATGTGTATTGGGTGCCTGTGATCTGGGACCGGCCGGGGCACTGGCCACAGAGCCATCATGGAGACCTGAAGTAATGTGCAGGGGACGCGCCCCCTCAGGCGCTGGTTTCTGAGCTCGATGTTTCACTGGTGAGGAGCCAGCTTCTTGGTGCCCGTGGCCCTGAGCATGGCACACGGTCCGTCCGCGCCACCACGCCCCTGTCCCTGCGCAAGGAGGAGGCCGTCAGCCGTGGTAAATGAACCCCGTTGCGACTGCGAGTACCGTTGTGGGCCTTTGCGGTGCTCTCCAGGAGTAGAGAGTGTCTCAAAAGAAGGTAAATTGTTAAAAATAGCAGAAGAGAGCTGAAATCTGCAAATGAGTTCGAGCTAGGAAAAGATGGTCCTAGGAACCTGGCAGACGCACCACCTGACACGCATGTGACCAGGTTTCTGACGCCTTTGTCTTCGTGCGCTTCCAACAGCCAAAGATTAGGAGAAGATCACCAAACAAGCTGATGCTTACCATTAATTTTAAATATTGAAAACTTGAAGAACAAATATTGACCACTTAAAAATCTTGAAAAGTACCCAAAAAACCCAAGATAGTTGCAGTCTGTCCCTAGTGGTGCCACACAGGACACGTGGCGCCAGGCCGCGTTGCCCTCTCCGAGGCCGTCCGGGGGAGGTGTGTGGGCGCCCCGCACGCCCCTCAGCCGGGGTCACTGCACCCAGACGGGACGCCACACTGTTCAACGCGCAGCCCAGTGAGGGCTGCGGGACCCCTCCGGTCCCTGCAACGGCGGGGGGGAGGGGGCCCTGCCCTGGAGGGGTCTCGTCACCCCTGCCAGAGCGGGCCCGTTGGTTCCCCCAGCCTTCGGGCGGAGCCTGGTGCCCCGACGTGACCAGCAGCTTGGGCCACCTCTCGTCCTAGCTCCCCATCGTCTTTTGGGGAAATCAGGGAAGTTGCAGGGAAGCGTGTTGCGGGCTGCAGGGGTGCCCGGGCCTCCGGCTTGACGGCCGCTGTCCTTGCAGAGAGCGTACTGTGGCCGGTGCAGCGAGAGGATATGGGGCCTCGCGGGGCAGGGCTTCAGGTGCATCAACTGCAGGCTGCTGGTCCATAAACGCTGCCACGTGCTCGTCCCGCTGACCTGCAACAGGCATATGGTGAGTGGGGGCCCGACTGGGCCCGGGGGCCTGCGGGCGGGGAGCCTCGAGCCCACTGCCCACGCTGACCCTGGAGGCCCTCGTCCCTCTAGTGCCGCCAGTGAGGCGAGAGGGGGGCGCGTGTGGCCGCAGAGCGGGGGAGGGACGGGGCCCCTCTTCCCCAGCCCTGGGGGCCCCTGGCACTCATGGGGGACCCTCGTGCCCTCTGCCTTCTGTCATGAAGGTGCGGGGGGCAGCGGGTGCCTGTGTGTGCCCCAGGCGTGGAGCAGCCAGGACGCGGCCCCGGGGGCCCCTGGCCACCAGCCCCCACCCTGGACTTGGAGCCCCCTGCCCTCCCACATACTGATGGCCCCCTTACTGAGCGTCCAGGCTCGGTCATGCTCCTGGGCCTCTGGCCGTCACCCCTGACGGGACAGGGACAGAGTCCAGACCTTGTCCCACCCGGGTAACTGCTCAGCACGGGGAAGCGGGGTCCCTCCGTGGACTGGGGTCTGGGGACCGGACAGTCTGTTTTCTAGAGTCCTTCCAGGCACGGCTGGCACCAAGCAGGAAGGTGCACACACCCTCTGACCCCATAGATCCCCGCCAGCCTGGGGAGCGAGGCCGCCCCCAAAGACGTGGCCCGTCAGGGGCCGAAGGACCGACACCTGGAGCCTAGGGTCTGCCAGTAGGGGGCCGTGGCAGGGTGACACCCGCCTCCTGGGACTCTGAGGCAGCGGTGGGGACAGGTGCGCTGCTTTGACAGGCTCCTGCTAGACAGGTCACGGCTGGGCGCTGAGGGAGCACCCTGCCTGTTGGATCAGGTTTCCCGTGGGGCCTCCCTCCTCCAGGGCAGCAGTGTCACAGGCACACCTGTGTATGGTGACACACGCCACGATGTGCATATAGGGGATGAGAAGGTCACACAGTGTCTCCCAAAGCTACACCGTGACACCTGACTGGTCACTTTCGGCGCTCGTACCTTTGCAGGATTCTGTCATGCCTTCCCAAGAACCCGCAGTAGATGACAAGGACGACGTGGACCTTCCTCCTGAGAACACCGATGGAAGTAGGGCTGCTTTCTTCCCCTGGTGGGGGCTGGGCTGGGGCGTCCCCGGCGCCTTCCCTCATCCCTGGGCAGAGACGGCAGGGTGGGGTGGCCCCCTCTGGGCAAACACCTCTCTGTGAGCGGCTGCCGTACGAGTCTGGGTGGGCGTTTTCCCTCGGCACTGACTTTGGGAGTTCTAGAAGGTGCTTACTGTGGTGCCCACCACGGGCAGGCTGCTGCACAGAGCTGGTCTCATGGACCTGCTGTCAAGTTGGTTCTGGAGTTTCTGTGGGCTTTCATGGGAGAGGCTCTTTTTTAATGAAAAGAAGCATTCGGAGACTGGTTTTGAGTACTGGTTGGACTGATAGCCTAGCTCTGAGCTCCCAAAGTCTGTGGGTTATTACCAGGGCTTGGAAGGGCCCTTGCCCTCGAGTGCTGGGTGTGAGCCCTGCTCCCTGAAAGCCCTTGAAGGGCGAGATGAGACCACAGAACATAAAGTATTTAGCACAGCACCTCAGATGGAGGAGACAACAACCCACTCATCTACCCACCCACCCACGCACCCACCTCCCTACCCATCCATCCATCCACCCATCCACTCATCTGTCCATCCATCCATTCACCCACCCATCCATCCACCCACCTACCTACCCATCCATCCATCCACCCAGCCGCCCATCCATCCACCCAGCCGCCCATCTGTCCGTCCGTCCGTCCATCCATCCATCCATCCATCCACTCATCTGTCCATCCATCCATTCACCCACCCATCCATCCAACCATCCAGCCATCCAGCCATCTGTCCATCCACCCACACACCCACCTATCTACCTACCCAACTAATAATCTTCTTCGGTTTGTCCATCCATCCACCCATCTTTCCATCATCCCTTCTTCTGCTCACCCACTCACCTACCTATCCATTTGGATACTCTATGAACAATATCTGTAAGGCTTAATACCACAGTTCTGCTGAATAATTACTTCCAGATGAATAGCAGAGAAGACATGTCACAAATGCAGGTTCCCAGGCTTTACCCCCAGAGGTGTAAAGTCAGAAGGTCTGGGTGGGGCCAGGAAGCTGTGTTTTCTTACACCTGTGTAGTCAGGTGTGGCTGCTCAGTGGGCTTGGCCTGGGCCGTTGGTGTCTGCAGAAGATCGAGGGGCCCTGGGAGCCCCTGTGTGTCAGGCTGCATTCCTGACGGTGCCTAGACTGTCCTGTTTTTTCTTTCTCTCTTCACTAGTTGCTTATATTTCTTCAACCCGGAAACATGACAACATTAAAGATGATTCTGAGGTGAGTATATAAAATGGTTCATTGGTGTTTCAAGTTTTTTGTTTTTTTTTTGTTTTTGTAAATTCATTAGCTAGTTTCTGGGGCAATTATGGAAACTTAAATATGAACTAGACAGGTTTGGGAATACTCACCTGTCTAACCTCACCGTAAGTGAGGGCTTGGTCTGCAGACACCTAGGGTGATGCACACAAAGGGGCTCAGGGTGGAGTCCCACGGAGTCACCAGTATTTAGTGCAGAAGGAACCTCCGAATCCTTAGGTGGACAGGAAGCTAGCGTGTGCGGCAGACAGGAGCCACTGCAGAGACTCAGACATGGGGCGGCCTTCCCCGCACAATCTGCAGGCGATGTGGGACTGGGGGCCGTGTCCCTGCGAGCGCGGGTGGCAGGCCTGTCTGAGCCTGGGTCAGGGGACTCTCTGATCTCAGAATCCTTTCTTGTCAAGTTGGGATAATGACCACACCTTTTTGGTAGGGTGAACTGCCACACCATGCACACCGGAAGCTTTCCACGACACCGATCGGGGGTAGGGCTGCTTCCCCATCAGTCCGGGGTGGTGCAGGCCACAGCAGTGGGCCACGCACCATCTCCGCACAGTAGACCCCGGGCTCTTAGGCTTTGAGAAAAGGTGGGAGAGCTGGCCCCTAGCGGGTGGGGTCGCTAGCTTTTTCTGGTCTTCCTAGAACTCTGTCTGCAGGGTCCGCGGGCTCCACGGACCCCTGGATTGGTCTTGCCCTTTGTCCTGTTTCGGGCGTGTTTATGGCTGGGCGGGTCAGGGTCAGAGGTAGATTGATAGATTGTTGCAAATTTGCTAGTAGCTTGGCTCTCCCTCACACCTAAGGTTCAAATATTGCGTTTTCTACAGCAGTCTCCCGGCTCCTGTCACAGGACAGGCGTTCCCTTGCCTGGGAGATTGGTGCCTCAAGAAGCAGCAGGATGTCGGCACCCATGGGCACTGCCCGCGTGGGGCACGGGGACTCGGCTCTGGGGAGCGGGCTGTGCAGTGCGGAGGAGTTGGTCTGTTGGGGGCAGCCAGGAGCAGGCGCGCACCAGCCCAGGACCTGGCTCAGAAACACGGCTGCTGGCCTGTCAGCTCGGTCTGGCTGGGGGCACATCCTTTATGAAGGTCCCCAGGGCTCTTTGGGGTGCAGGTTCAGTCCCCCGGTGCCCCATCTCTTTCCAGACGGCGGAGTGGGCCCAGGGCTTGCTCCTGGGCTGCGAGTTTTGTCAGTTGTTATTTGCATCAAACCCTTCCTTGATTTGCCTGTTGTACTTTTTCTGCATCACTGAGCAGCTCTCCACGTCGTGGGGGACACTGAGCAGGCATCCTACAAGGTCACTTAATTCCAACCCCCCTCTTCCTGGGGCTAGCGTCAGACGCCGCTGGGAAGGACTCAGGTCCCACCCACACATCTTAAGTGTTCACCTGTGCTTCTGACCAGCCCGCTGGAAATGGGGTTCCCACGACCCTTTCCTTGGGCTCAAGTAATTTGTTAAAGTGGCTCACAGAACTCAGGGAAATATTTGCCTTCCCAGATGGCTGGTTTCCGGGAGATCACGCAGGAACAGCCGGATGGGGGGGGAGGCACAGTGTCCATGCTCGTCCAGGCCCAGCTCCCCGCGTTCACTGGCCAGGAGCGCTCCAGACCCCGTCCTTTTGGGTTTGTGTGGAGACCTCATAACGGGGGCATGGCTGATGAAGTCCTTGGCCATTGGACACTGGGCTCAACCCCCAGCCCCTCTCCCCTCCCCGGAGGTCAGGGGTCGGGCTGAGTTTGGACCCTCTGCAATAAACAGCGTTGGTAATCACCCCCATCTTTAGGTGACCTGGGTTTCTCACACGTTGTCCCATTAACATAACAAAAGATGCCTTTTCTGTTGGGTAGGGAATTCCAGCGATTTCGGGAACTCTGTGCCAGGAACGGGGCTAAGACCCACCGTATGTTAGTACAAATCCCAGGATCATGATTTGCTCCTTCTGCCCTGGGAAGCCCTCTGCTGCCCTTCTGTGTTCTTCCCCGGGTTTGGACTGACAGTTTCAGCTTGGCCTCGTGTGTGGCAGCTCTGGGTGGTAAACCGGGCATCAGATGGTTCCGGTGAGCGAGGAGATGTCACACAAGCTATAGTTTGCAGTCTCTGTCCCCAAAACCTCAGGACAGCTCTGCCTGACCAGGGCCACAGCTTTCCCAGAGTACTTGGCGCCCGGACTTCTTGATTTGCCTTCCTGGTGATTCCCTGTCCGGGATGAGGCAGGACACTCACCTCCTGCTTCCCCACACACACCCCCGCCAGAAGAAATTCGTAGGAGGGAAGCTACTGTTCTTAATCGGATCACCACCCTCTTTTATGTATTTCCAGGCGTCCTTGGTCAGGGCTCTGCAGACTGCAGCCAGTTCTGCTCTGTAGCCCCCAGGGGAGCCACAGGGGGAGCCTGTTCTGGGGAGGCCGGTCCCGGGCACCCCCGTGCTTACGGAGGGGCCGCCTGTGGCTGGCCACTGGGCCACAGTCTGTGGAAATGACTGGCTCTTGGGGTGGCGGGTCTGCGGTGGTCCTTGGGGCGCAGAGCCGGGGTCTGTGAGCAGAATTGCACCCTGAGCTCCAGGCCACGCACGGGACCTGTGAGCCTCAGCAGGGAGGGGTCCATACTTCCCCGCACCCTCTCTCCTCAGGACCTCAAGCCGGTTATCGACGGGATGGATGGAATCAAAATATCTCAGGGGCTCGGCCTGCAGGACTTCGACCTGATTAGGGTCATCGGGCGCGGGAGCTACGCCAAAGTGCTCCTGGTGCGGCTGAAGAAGAATGACCAGATGTACGCCATGAAAGTGGTGAAGAAGGAGCTCGTCCACGACGACGAGGTGAGGCCTGGTGTGGGCGCGCCTCCTCCGTGGGATCGTCCGTGCTGTTTACCCTTACAAGGGGAGCAGGAGGCACATAACAGATTCACCGTTTCAGCCAGTTTCACGACTGCACTGTAGGCGCCTGGTGCCTCCGCCCCCGCCATCTCGGTCCAGGCCGTTTCCACCCCCAGAGGGAAGACCCACGCCCATCAGCCGCCACCCCCGGCCCCCACGCCCAGCCCCAGCCACCGCCTGGGCTACATTTCGTGTAGAGAGGGTCATACACCGTGTGGCCTTTTGTGCCCAGCTTCTTGCGCCAAGTGTCGCATTTTCGAGGTCCTTCCTTCAGAACCACATTGCTTTCTGTGCCTGAATACGACTCCATCGTATGAACAGGCCACACTCTTAACCTGCTCTCCTGTCGCATCGGTTGCTGTGACCCGTGCCGCTGAGTGCTCCCGTGCAGGCGTCTGTTCCAGCCCTGTTCTCGGGTCTTTGGGGGTTTTCCCAGGAGAGGAATGACCAGGTCATAGGGTTACTTGCTGAGCTGTTTGCGGAGCCGCCGAGCTGTCCTGTAGCAGACGCACCCTCTCCATCCCCCAGCCGTGTGCGAGGGCCCAGCGTCTGCACATCCTTCCCAGGAATTGCCCTTTTCCGTTTCCGGATATCCGCTGTCCTGGCGGGTGGCGGGCGTCCCGCATGGTGTGATTTGCATTCCGTGATCACTGGCATCTCTTTGTGGGTCTCCTGGCTTCACGACATCTGATCTTTTTCTCTCACCCTTGAGTGCAGATCCTCTGTCTTAGGCTCACAGGCTGCCTAAGGCAGTCTGGCTGTTACTCCCCAGGCCCCAGAGCACAAAAGGCAGCTTGGTGTGCGAGGGACCAGCGGACCGCAGGAGCGTGCCCTGCCCTGGCCCGGCTCCTGGTTGGAGGGAAAAGGTGGGGCTGAACTGGAGCCTTTACTTGCCCAGCTGGCCCCTGAGTGCTAAGCCCACAGGGGAGGAGGCCACGGCCAGGAGAAGCAGTGGCTTGCAAACATCCTCACTGCTGGCCAGGATGATTCCAGACGCCCCCTCCCGGCACTCTGGCCAACTGGAAAGTTAGTGGGATGTGTGAGGTCAAGTTTGTAGAATTGGAAGGAAAGACATTCAGGGGAGACTTACTGCTAGGGTTCATTCTCGGCATCTTCAAATCGTCCCCTGTGGCCCGAGGTGTGGAGGGTGGGACTTCCAGGTGGTCCATGAGAAGAGCATAACTGGGAGTCAGCGAGTGTGCGTGTGCGTGCCCGTGTGCGTGCCCACGTGTGCCACACGCATGTCGGTGTGTGTCTGCATGTATCATGTGTGTCCTGTGTGCATGAGACTTCATGTGCGGCATGCATGTCTACATGTCTGCCTGTGTGTGTGTCTACGTGTCTGCATCTGTGAGAGACCCTGGTGTCTGACCGTGAGTCTGGCCGTGGACATCAGGCATAGGGGCACTGCACGGGGAGGGATGGTGGCCCCCGAAAAGATATGTCCTGATCCTGATCCCTGGAGCCTGTGAATCCGAACTTACTTGGAAATAGGGTCCTGGCCAGTGTAATTAGGTTAAGGATCTTGGGGAGGTCGTCCTGGAGTATGTGGGTGGGCCCTGCATCCAGTGAGAGGTGTCCTTCTAGAGAAAGAGGAGACAGACAGACAGAAGGCAGCGCAGACACCCAGGGAAACCGATGTGCTGATGGAGGCACAGAAGAGGCAGGAAATCCCCCCTTGCTTCACCCCGATGTCAGGCTTCAGGCTCAGAACAGAGAGACGAGTGTGGAAGTTTCCAGGCCCTGGGTCCATGGTGCTTTGTTGCAGCGGCCGCGGGAGCCTGGTGGCAGTGCAGCGGGAGACCCTGGCGGCTGGACTCTGCGGGAGGGGAAAGGAGGGGGCTCTTGGCCACCCACCAGGGTTTTCTCCCCTTTGGAGCACGGGTGGCGGGGGCTGGTCGGGCCCTGTGGAAGGGCCTCTGCTACCCGACGCCCACCGCCCTGGCGGGTCTGGAGGTCCGGGGGAGGCGGGGCTGGGAGTGCTGTGCATGGAGTTTAGGTCTGAAGCCAGTGCGCCCAGGGGGGCGTCTAGGGGAGAGAGGGGCTCTGGGCTGAGCCCAGGGAGGACGAACCCGACATGGCGTGGGCCCACTGAGGAGTGCTCGCTGAGAGTGTGCTCTGTTATTTCCAAAACCTTCAGGGGCCGGTGGTGCTGCTCTGGACACATCCCTTTCCCTCTCGCTGTCTCAGCCCCTAGGAGGGGAGGGTTAGCCTGGGAGTTTGGGAACCTCATCCAGCTCTGCTTCCAGGGTTGGAACGCAATCAGAGCTGTGGCATCACTGTGACTCTGGAGTAACTTGACTTTGCAGCTTTCCCCCCAGTTCCAGCGTGGATTGGGAGGAAGCCAGCCCTGTGGCAGGAGCTAGTGTGAGAGACGGGATGAGATGCTGGGGAATCTCCTTCAGCATCCATCCTCTGTCTCCCCGCGTCTTAAGTGGAGACAGTACCCTCCTCCCAAGGCTGCCATGGGGAGCACATGAGGCTGTTCATGGAGAGCCTGTGGCCCACAGACCGCACAGAGCTGGGGGGGCGGGTAGAGATGGTGATGGTGATGATGGTGGTGATGGGGGTGGTGATGGTGGTGACGGAGATGGGGGTGGTGATGGTGGTGATGGTGATGGTGGTGATGGTGATGGTGGTGACGGAGATGGGGGTGGTGATGGTGGTGGTGGTGATGGTGGTGATGGTGATGGTGGTGATGGTGGTGACGGAGATGGGGATGGTGATGGTGGTGATGGTGGTGATGGTGGTGACGGAGATGGGGGTGGTGATGGTGGTGATGGTGGTGACGGTGGTGATGGTGGTGACGGAGATGGGGGTGGTGATGGTGGTGATGGTGATGGTGGTGATGGTGGTG